GTCCAGGCGCAGTGGCCACGCCTGTAATCCCAGCACTTTGGGAGGTCAACATGGGTGGATCACCTGAGGTCAGGAGTTCAAGACCAGCCTGGCCAACATTGCGACACCCCATCTCTACTAAAAAAAATACAAGGCCGGGCGCGGTGGCTCAAGCCTGTAATCCCAGCACTTTGGGAGGCCGAGACGGGTGGATCACGAGGTCAGGAGATCGAGACCATCCTGGTGAACACAGTGAAACCCCGTCTCTACTAAAACTACAAAAAAAAACTAGCCGGGCGAGGTGGCGGGCGCCTGTAGTCTCAGCTACTCGGGAGGCTGAGGCAGGAGAATGGCGTGAACCCGGGAGGTAGAGCTTGCAGTGAGCTGAGATCAGGCCACTGCACTCCAGCCTGGGCGACAGAGCGAGACTCCGTCTCAAAAAAAAAAAAAAAAAAAAAATACAAAAAATTAGCCGAGCGTGGTGCCGCACACCTGTAATCTCAGCTACTCAGGAGGCTGAGGCAGGAGAATTGCTTGAACTCAGGAGGTGGAGGTTGCAGTGAGCTGAGATCGCGCCACTGCACTCCAGCCTGGGCGACAGAGTAAGACTCTATCTCAAAAGAAAATTAAAAATAAAGATAAATAAAAATAAAACAAAAACAACAATAACAAAAAGAAAACGAATTGCCCTGCAGAAAAGGCTCTTGCGGCCGGGCGTGGTGGCTCACGCCTGTAATACCTGCACTTTGGGAAGCTGAGGAAGGCGGATCATGAAATCAGGAGTTAGAGACTAGCCTGGTCAACAAAATGAAACTTCGTCTCTACTAAAAATACAAAAATTAGCTGGGCATGGTAGTGCACTCCTGTAATTCCAGCTACTCAGGAGGCTAAGGCAGGAGAATTGCTTGAACCTGGGAGGTGGAGGTTGTGGTGAGCTGAGATGGTGCCACTGCACTCCAGCCTGAGCAACAGAGTAAGACTCTGTCTCAAAAAAAAAAAAAAGAGGCCGGGCGCGGTGGCTCAAGCCTGTAATCCCAGCACTTTGGGAGGCCGAGACGGGCGGATCACGAGGTCAGAAGATCGAGACCATCCTGGCTAACACGGTGAAACCCCGTCTCTACAAAAAAAAAAAAATACAAAAAACTAGCCAGGCGAGGTGGCGGGCGCCTGTAGTCCCAGCTACTCGGGAGGCTGAGGCAGGAGAATGGTGTGAACCCGGGAGGCGGAGCTTGCAGTGAGCTGAGATGGTTCCACTGCACTCCAGCTGGGCGACAGAGCTAGACTCCGTCTCAAAAAAAAAAAAAAAAAAAAAAGACTCTTGCTTGGTCATTGTGTTAAATGTAGAGTTTATATGAATTAACAGTGACACCATAGTCCATTTATGTGCTTAATTCCAACTAATTATGACGAATCATTCACACGATATTTGGGGCTTGTTTGCCTCGACAAAGGAAGGCAGTACCTTGAGTTTCATATAGGGCAGTGTGTGGTGGACAGGACAGCTCTCTTCCCATTTAGTAATTATTTAGTAATTTGGATTAGTTCTTTTTTTTTTTTTTTTTTTTTTTTTTTTTTTTTTTTTGAGACAGGATCTTGTTCTGTTGCCCAGGCTGGAATGTAGTAGTGCGATCATAGCTTACTGCAGCCTTGAACACCTGGGCTCACTTCTCCCTCCCAAGTAGCTGGGACTAGAGCTTTGCACCACCATCCCTGGCAAATTCTCTTTTTTTTTTTAGTTGGAGTCTCGCTCTGTCACCCAGGCTGGAGTGCAGTGGCGCAATCTGGGCTCACTGCTGCATCCCCTCCCGGGTTCACGTGGTTCTCCTGCCTCAGCCTCCTGAGTAGCGGGGACTATAGGCTCCCGCCACCACACCCAGCTAATTTTTTGTATTTTTAGGAGAGAGGGTGTGTCAACGTGTTAGCCAGGATGGTCTCGATCTCCTGACCTCGTGATCTGCCCGCCTCGACCTCCCAAAGTGCTGGGATTACAGGCGTGAGCCACTGCACCTGGCCAAATAAGCTTACATTCTATCTTCATCTTTCACTGCTTTCCTAATATGTAAACTCACGGCACATTAAAACAGAACTATTCTCTATTTTCCTCTTTGAAGATAGGTCATAATCCATAGTCATCTTTGGATCTCAAGCTTCTAGCACACATTAGGTTTTCTTTTATTTTTATATTTTGAGACGGAGTCTTACTCTGTCGACCAGGCTAGAGTGCAGTGATCTCTGCTCACTGCAACCTCTGCCTCCAGGGTTCAAAGGATTCTCCTGCCTCAGCCTCCTGAGTAGCTGGGATTACAGGTGAGTGCCACCACACCTAGCTAATTTTTTTTATTTTTAGTAGAGACGGGGTTTCACCATGTTGGTCAGGCTGGTCTCAAACCCCTGACCTCACGATCTGCCCGCCTCAGCCTCCCAAAATGCTGGGATTGCAGGTGTGAGCCACCGTGCCTGGCGGTTTTCTTTTCTTTTGAGACAGAGTTTTGTTCTGTTGCCCAGGATGGAATGCAGTGGTGTGATCTCAGCTCGCTGCAACCTCCAGCTCCCAAGTTCAAGCAATTCTCCTGCCTCAGCCTCCCGAATAACTGGGATTATAGGCGCATACCACCATACCCAGCTAATTTTTGTGTTTTAGTAGAGATGGGGTTTCACCCTGTTGGCCAAACTGGTCTCGAACTCCTGACCTCAGGTGATTCACTTGCCTCAGCCTCCCAAAGTGTGGGGATTATAGGCGTGAGCCACTGATCCCAGCCTAAGGTTTTCTTTTTCTTTCCTTTTCTTTTTTCTTTTTTTTTTGTATCTTTGTATTTATTTATTTAATTTTATTTTTTCCTGAGGTGGAGTCTTACTCTGTCGCCCAGGCTGGAGTGCAGTGGCATGATCTCGGCTCACTGGAAGCTCTGCCTCCTGGGTTCATGCCATTCTCCTGCCTCAGCCTCCAGAGTAGCTGGGACTACAGGCGCCCACCACCATGCCCATCTACTTTTTTTGTATTTTTAGTAGAGATGGGGTTTCACCGTGTTAGCCAGGATGGTCTCGATCTCCTGACCTCGTGATCTGCCCACCTCGGCCTCCCAAAGTGTTGGGATTACAGGCATGAGCCACAGCACCCAGCCCTGTATCTTTTTAGAGACAGGTTTTCACCATGTTGGCCAGACTGGTCTCAAACTCCTGACCTCATGTGATTCGCCTGCCTCGGCTTCCCAAAGTGTTGGGATTACAGATATGAGCCACTGCACCCGGCCGGGTCCATACAACTACCTTAACAGTCTCTCCTTTTTTTAGATGGGGTCTCGCTCTATTGCCCAGGCTGAAGTGCAGTGTCACAAACAGGGTTCACAGCAGCCTCTACCTCCTGGGCTCAGGTGATCCTCCTGCCTCAGTCTCCAGTGTAGCCAAGACCACAGATATGTGCTACCATGCACAGCTAAATTTTTGGTTTTTTGTAGAGACAAGGTCCACTTTTTTGCCCAGGCTGGTTTCGAACTACTGGCCTCAAGTGATCCTCCCACCTTGGCCTCCCAAAGTGCTGGGATTACAGGCATGAGCCACCGGGCCCAGCCCGCTCTTTTTTTTTTTTTTTATTATACTTTAAGTTCTAGGGTACATGTGCATAACGTGCAGTTTGTTACATATGTATACTTGTGCCATGATGGTGTGTCTCTTTTTTTTTTTTTTTTTTTTGAGACTGAGTCTGGCTCTGTCGCCCAGGCTGGAGTGCAGTGGCCGGATCTCAGCTCACTGCAAGCTCCGCCTCCCGGGTTTACGCCATTCTCCTGCCTCAGCCTCCCGAGTAGCTGGGACTACAGGCGCCGCCACCTCGCCCGGCTAGTTTTTTTTTGTATTTTTTAGTAGAGACGGGGTTTCACCATGTTCACCAGGATGGTCTCGATCTCCTGACCTCGTGATCCACCCGTCTCGGCCTCCCAAAGTGCTGGGATTACAGGCTTGAGCCACCGCGCCCGGCCATTTTTTTTTTTTTTTTAGAGACAGGGTCTCGCTCTGTTGACCAGGATGGAGTACAGTGGCATGATGATGGCTCACTGCATCCTTGAATTTCCAGGTTCAGGGAATCCTCCCAGTTGGGATTACAGGGGCAGGCCACCAGGCCCAGCTAAATTCTCTAATTTCAGTGATTTGTGTACTTGCTCCTTTAGACTGGTAGCTCTCCAAGGACAAATCTTGCAGGTGTTTCAACTCTTTATCCCCAACTGTTGGCTTAGCACTAAGATGCTAATAAATGTAAATTAATACACAAACCACAGTTACCCCCACCATCATTGGCAGAGGGGCTGAAGACACCTCCAGACACTCTCTCCACCCCAAAACCAAGCCCGCCCAGTGGGCGGATACTGGGATCTTGCTCCTGGGGCCTGGGAACCTGGGAACACAGCTCCAGCCAGGGCCCCACCAGGATGGGAAACAGGGCTTGTTCTTCAGCCTCTCCCTGAGCCTGGCCTTTGTAGTGCTGCCGACCTGTCCGGAGTCTTTCTGGCCGCCTCTTTCTTTGTGTCTCTTTCTCTTTGTCTCTGCCCGTTTCGCTGACTGCCGTCTTTTGTTCCTCTGCTCCTGGGCCTGTTTCTCTCCAGGCTCCCAGCCTCTTCTTACTGCTCCTCGGACTCTGCGTCAATGACTTTATCTCTTATTCGTTTCTACGTCTCTTTGTCTCTAGCGGCCAATCTTTGGCTCCCCGTATTTTTGGTCAGCCGCTGTCCCTCGGTCTCTCTCTGCCCTTGCGTCCTCTGTGACTCAAGGCTCTGATGTGAGTCTCTGGCTCAGGGTCTCTGTTCCGGGCCCCAGGTCTGATTCCATTTCCCCAGCAGCATTTACCCGGTGTCTGCCTCTAGCCTCTGCTCTTGCCTCGGTCTCCCCAGCCCAGCCCCCATTCCACCCCCACCCCCACCCCCACCCCGGGCCCTCGGCCTCTCGGACCAGCCCCGCTTTGTTTCCCATGTCTCGGCGCCCCGCCCCGCCCCGTCTGGGGTCTCCGCCGCCCTTTGTCTGCCTTGGTCTCTCCCCCACCCCCTTCCCCGAGTCCGTCTTTGGATCCCTCTTTCTTTGTCTCTCCCAGGCCGGGGTGGCTGACGCAGTCGGCCGGCCCCGGAGGTCGGCGCGGGTGGCCGGAGACACACAGCCACAATTGCGAAGAGCCTCGGGCCTCATTACCCAGCTGCAGCCCAGGAGGCACACGGTTAATACCACCGAGTTCGGGCCGCCGTCCTCGGCTTAGAGTAGCCCCTGGGCCGCACGCTGCCGCCCGCGGGCCACCGAGCTCCCGCCGACGCGGGCGACCCCCACAGGCGCGCAGCTCCTCCAAGGTCCTAGAGCGGCTCCGTGCGGCCCCGCGCTTCCGCTTCCCGTCCCCGCCCCCGGCGGCCGCCCCCGGGACGGCTGGGTCCGAGCCCCCTCCTGGCTTGGCGCGGAGCCCGCATCCCGGAGCCGCTGGCGGCTCGGGCACCCGCACCCCGCTGAGGAGCTCCGGAGGGCGCCGGGGTGGCGGAGCCGGCGTCGGCCGGCAAGGTGAGAGCGGCGGCTGCGCGCCGAGAGGAGCAGCAGGTGCAGGGGCGGCCGGCGGCGCGGGCGGGGGGCACCCGGAGCCGCGCCCGTACCTGGGACCCGACGCCACCCGGTGCCAGCGCTGGCCGGCAGAGGGCAGCGGCAGGGCGCCGCGGGCCACACATGGCTGTGTGACCGCGGGATGCTGTCTGTCCTCTTGCTCAGGGCGGCGTGCCGGCGATGGAGCGCGCGGTAGAGCCCTGGGGCCCGGATCTCCACGGCCAGGAGGAGAGGGAGCCGCTGAGAGGCGCCCGCACAGGTGAGGGCCTCGGCCGTGCGCCACCACGGACAGGTAACGGCCGGTGGGGACTGCGATGCTTGGCTTTGTCCGGCCGAGATGCAGGAAGATCGGACGTGAGCTGTGCCTCCGGGGAGAAAGGGGGAGGGGAGCAAACATCGAGGGAGGGAACGGAGCTTTCCGAACACCTACAGTGCACCAGGCCGGGAGGGGCTCTTCACGGCCTCTGCCCCCTCCCCCACGGCCTTTCTCGTCCTCTCTGCCTCTGCCCTACTTCAGGTTTCATTCTGTTTTATCCTGGCAATTGCAGTAGCCTCCTCTCTGCCCCTTTCTCTCCACTGATGCATTCTGCCGCCAGATTGATCTAAGTCCAGATATAATCTGTGTCTCTTCTGGAAAACCTTCCCTAGCGTCCCCTTGTCTCCTAATTAAAAGCCTTAGCTAGTGTCCAATCCAAACCGTGCGTGCTCAGGCTAGTGCCAACATCCTTTGACACCTTATCTTCCATTCCACTCCATTATTTTCTCGTCGCTCTGCCGTAATGCCAGTTCCTACTTCCTTATCTCCTATCTCTCTTGTGACAACATAGTTATTCTGAACTCACAATTATAACCATTGATACTTTATCTTATCTCTCCTACCACCCTAAGCTTCTTGAGGAAGGGATGTGTGCCTGGGTTCTCTCAGGTACACACAGGATAACTGATGTAATAAATTACTGAATGGGCTAATATAAGATAATAATAGCAAATACTAGGTTTTCAAAATAGACAGTATAATGCAGGGATTAACATGGGATTGAGTGTCAGACAGACCTTAAGACACTAGGCTTTGCTACTTTTTTTCTTTTTTTTGGCGACAGGGTCTCACTGTGTCACCCAGGCTAGAGTGGCACAATCACAGCTCACTGCAGCCTACACCTCCTGGGCTCAAGTGATCCTCCTACCTCAGCCTCCCAGTAGCTGGGACCACAGGTGCGCACCACCATGCCCAGCTAATTTTTGTATTTTTTTGTAAAGATGGGGTCTCACCATGTTGCCCAGGCTGGTTTCTAACTCCTGGGCTTAAGTGATCCACCCACCTCGGCCTCCCAAAGTGCTAGGATTACAGGTGTGAGCCACCTTGCTGGCCTGGCTTTGCTACTTTCTAACCTTTCTAACCTCCAGCAAAGGGACTTAAATTCTCTGAGTCTTTCCATGCCTGTAATATGGGGATAGTCATAGTGTTATAGTATTGTTTGCAAGGATTGAATACTAATGCTGAGTTCGGTGAATGGCATACATTAAGGGCCCAGTTAAAACAAGTTTTTATTGCGAGGCACAGATAGTAAGTGCACCAGAGGTTGACAGGAGACAGATTGGGGCTCCCGTGACCACAGATTGTCAAGGGAGTCTTCCTGGAGAGGTTGCTGTCAAAGATAAGGACTGAGCCAAAGGGGAGGGTCTACAACTTCCTTTTCTTTCCTCAGGTCTAGGGAGTGAGAACGTGATTTCCCAGCCGAATGAGTTCGAACATACCCCACAGGAAGATGGCTTGGGGTTCAAGGAAGAAGAAGATTTGGCCCCAGATCATGAAGTAGGAAATGCCTCTCTCAAACCTGAAGGCATCCAGAACTGGGATGACTTATGGGTCCAGAGAGAGGGTCTAGGAAAGCCTCAGCCTCAGGACAGAGGCCCCCGGCTCCTGGGGGAACCACGCTGGGGCCAGGCTAGTAGTGATCGGGCCGCTGTGTGTGGTGAGTGTGGCAAGAGCTTCAGGCAGATGTCAGATCTGGTGAAACACCAGCGGACCCACACGGGGGAGAAACCCTACAAGTGTGGGGTCTGTGGCAAGGGCTTTGGGGATAGCTCTGCCCGGATCAAACACCAGCGGACTCATAGTGGGGAGAAGCCCTATAGAGCCCGGCCACCAGCCCAGGGTCCCCCAAAGATTCCTCGGTCCCGGATCCCTGCTGGTGAGCGCCCCACTATCTGTGGTGAATGTGGCAAGAGCTTCCGGCAGAGTTCTGACCTGGTGAAACACCAGCGGACACACACTGGTGAGAAGCCCTACAAGTGTGGCATATGTGGCAAGGGCTTTGGTGACAGTTCCGCCCGCATCAAGCACCAGCGGACACACCGGGGGGAGCAGCCCCCCCGACCAGTGGTGCCCCGACGGCAGCCATCTCGGGCAGCCACAGCAGCTACCCAGGGACCGAAGGCCCAGGACAAGCCATATATCTGCACTGATTGCGGCAAAAGGTTTGTGCTCAGCTGCAGCCTCCTGAGTCACCAGCGCAGTCACTTGGGGCCCAAGCCCTTTGGCTGTGATGTGTGTGGAAAGGAGTTTGCCCGGGGATCCGACCTGGTGAAGCACCTGCGGGTACACACGGGTGAGAAGCCCTACCTCTGCCCAGAGTGCGGCAAGGGTTTCGCGGACAGCTCCGCCCGAGTCAAACACCTCCGCACCCACAGTGGCGAGAGGCCCCATGCCTGCCCGGAATGCGACCGTACCTTCAGCCTCAGCTCTACCCTTCTTCGCCACCGCCTCACTCACATGGAGCCCCAGGACTTCAGCTTCCCAGGCTATCCCCTACCTGCTCTGATCCCCAGCCCACCCCCACCTCCTCTGGGCACCAGCCCCCCGCTGACACCTCGAAGTCCCTCACACTCTGGTGAGCCTTTTGGCCTGCCTGGCTTGGAGCCGGAGCCTGGGGGCCCACAGGCCGGGGAGCCACCCCCACCACTGGCGGGCGACAAGCCCCACAAGTGCCCTGAGTGTGGCAAGGGCTTCCGCCGAAGCTCTGACCTGGTGAAACACCATCGCGTGCACACAGGGGAGAAACCCTACCTCTGTCCTGAATGCGGCAAGGGTTTTGCTGACAGCTCAGCCCGAGTCAAGCACCTCCGCACCCACCGTGGTGAACGGGCCCGGCCACCACCACCATCCACTCTCCTGCGGCCACATAACCCACCTGGCCCAGTACCCACAGCCCCTCGACCCCGAGTTCGGGCCCAGCCTTCTGGACCCAGCCAGCCCCACGTGTGTGGCTTCTGTGGGAAGGAGTTCCCCCGAAGCTCAGATCTGGTCAAACACAGGCGTACACACACAGGGGAGAAGCCATACAAGTGTGCAGAGTGTGGCAAGGGTTTTGGTGACAGTTCTGCCCGCATCAAGCACCAACGTGGGCACCTGGTCCTGAGGCCCTTTGGGATAGGGGATGGTAGGGCAAGGCCCCTCAAGCAGGAGGCACCAACAGGACTGGAATGACAGGTCCAGGGAGGGTGGAGGCCCAGGAGACCAAAGGGAGGGGCTCTGCTGCTTAGCAAAGAAAGGGCCTGGGAGGTGGTGGGAGGGAGAAGGAAGGGAAGAAAGGGGAGGAAGGAGAATAGATAGAAATAGGGATTGGAGAGAGTAACCTTGAAGCTCAGGAAACTGTCCTGGCTGGGCCCAGTCAGGATCTTGTCAGGACGGGCTGTACCCCTGGCTTCTAGAAGACTGCCTAGCACATAGTAGGCATTCGATACTTGTTGAATAAATTGGCTTTCACCTGAGGACTCAACCCTGAATTCCTGTTGCCTCATCTGTTAAGAACTGACACTTTCCCCTTGCTGGGCAGGTAGTACACACCTGTAATCCCAGCACTTTGGGGGGATGAGGTGGGAGAGTCACTTGAGCCCAAAAGTTTGAGGCTGCAGTAAGCTGATTGCACCACTGATGCCTCCCAACCTTGCTCTGGGAGACCAACGCCTGAACCAGGGTTTGTTTACCTTTTGAGCTGCAGTGATGGAGCTTCTGGAATTTAAGGTAATGGGATGAGGCAGGGGTATCTTGATCATCCGGATGGGGCAAATACTGCTCTGTGGCATGGTGGTACCCACCCCTATGGAGGGGCACTCTTGGACAGAGCCCAGACCTTTGTGCCCTGGAGGGAGCCAACCCACCCTGACACGGAGACACTGGCAGAATAGACCAGAGACAGAAGGTGCACTCATGGTATCCAGCCTGGATGCCAAGCCCCAGTCCTGGTGGATAGCAGAGGCCAGCTGGCTGGGAGAAAGGCAGGACGCTCTGAGGCCTGGCAGCCACATTTCCATGTGTCTCTTTACCAATAAACGGATTCTCGTCTGAGGCTTGGACTGTGTGTGTGTACACACAGTCATGAAAAAGGTGGAAAGGGGTGTCTGCGGGCAAAATTCAAACTGTAAATTTTGTATGGTTCCCTTGCTCTGTTTGAGCCCATTAAATAAAGAGGTTGTCTTGGCGTAGTCAGCGGCTTTCTGGCTCCGACGTCTGGTTCAAAAACAGCCGCCAGCTGCATCAGCCGATGCCCCGCCTGAGGTCTGGCTGCCCGCAGGCACCACCTACGCCACAGCATCCAGCGCGACCCTTAAAAGGAAAACCGCGCGGCACTCCAGAGGGAAGGCAGCGAGGAGGAGGAGGAGGGGGCGTGCGGGGGGCGCTGTTGCTATGGCGACGGCTGTCGGCGGGAGGCGGCCCACAGGTCTGGAACCTGCGTGGAAAGCCCGGACGCCGGCGCGCCGCCCACCGGGACCTGGGAAACCCGACATCCGAGACCCTTTTTATGCGTCGGCAAAAGAGTCATTCGGCTGCACGGCCCAAAGGGAGGGCAAACAGAGTGCTCCTTCACCCCCAAAAAAGCCCGCCGGATTTCTCACCGCCCTGCGGGGCCTCGGAAGCACGTCTGCAATCCCTCGCGTTTTGAGAACCACTGGCCAGATCGGCCAGAGATTAAAGAAAAAAAAAGTCCAGGGCGATTCTCCCCTCTAAGCAATGAAGGCAATGAAATACAGGCTCTCAAGTTCCCGCCCCCCGCTCTCCGCGATCTCCGTGCGGGAAGAATCCCTGGACGGGTTCTCGCGAGATCGTAAGCACCGGCCTGGCTTCCCTAGAAACGGACCAGGGCTGGCTGCAGTGCGGCTCCTCCTGCTCCGCCCGCGCTTTCCAAATTGCTGGGCTCTCAAAACCCTAGAACCCTGCGTTCGGGGCTGGGGCTCTTGATGGCCTGAGGGGAGCTCTTTGGGGCTTCTGGAAGTTCCTTCTTCCTGGTTTTCCTAGCTCCCTTCCCTACCAGTGTGCCCTCCAAGCCGACCTTCAGTGAACTTTCTTTTCTTTTTTTTTTTTGAGACGGAGTCTCTCTCTGTCGGCCAGGCTGGGGTGCAGTGGCGCGATCTCGGCTCACTGCAACCTCTGCCTCCCGGGTTCAAGCGATTCCCCTGCCTCAGTCTCCTGAGTAGCTGGGATTACAGGCGCGCGCTACCACGCCCGACTAATTTTTGTATTTTTAGTAGAGACGGAGTTTCACCATGTTTATCAGGCTGGTCTCGAACTCCTGACCTCGTGATCCGCCCACCTCAGCCTTCCAAAGTGCTGGGATTACAGGCGTGAGCCACCACGCCTGGCCACTTTCTTTTCTTGATTTCTTTCTTTTTTTTTTTGAGACGGAGTCTCACTCTGTCGCTTAGGCTAGAGTGCAGTGGCAGGATCTTCGGCTTACTGCAACCTCCGCTCGGATTCAAGCGATTCTCCTGCCCCAGCCTCCCTAGTAGCTGGGATTAAGCCACCACGCCCAGCTAATTTTTTTTATTTTTAGTAGGGACGGGATTTCACCATGTTGGCCAGGCTGGTCTCGAGCTCCTGACCTCAGGTGATCTGCCTGCCTCTGCCTCCCAAAGTGCTGGGATTTATAGGCATGAGCCACCGTGCCTGGCCTGCTTTCTAAAATTACATCTGGCCATGTCACTCCCCCATTAAAACCCCACTGGATCACCTCTACATGCTGTCCCTAAAGCCTTTCATTGGCACTCAAGCCCTTCCACTTGTGTAGTTTCAGCCCTGGGCTCCTTAAATGTGGTTTCCTTTACTTGGAATGCTCCTCTACCACTACCCACCTCTTGTTAATCTCCTCTGTCAAAACACCTCAAGCACTACTTCCTCCAAGAAGCCTACTCTGACCCTCCAGCCTGGGTTAGTTAGAATCCCCTTCTCTGAGCAACCCCCCTCTCTGAGCACCTAACACATGAAGAGCTTCTTGAGGGTAATAAGTTACTCACTCAACAGCTGCACCTGTTGTGTGCTGTGTACTGGGATAGAAAGATAAAGACAAAGTCCCTGACCTGTTTTTATGCGGGAGATAGACATTGAACAAATAATTACAAGTGAGGTGAGAAATGTCCAGCAAACCTATGAGCGGGAGAGAATCCTCTGTGATCCAAAGGCCTCTCCATGCCAGGTGCGGTGGCTCAGGTCTGTCATCCCAGCATTTTGGGAGGTTGAGGCAGGAGGCCAGGAGTTCGAGACCAGACTGGGCAACATAGTTAGACATCTCTACAAAAAATACAAAAATTAGGTGGAACGCACCTGTAGTCCCAGCAACTCAAGAGGCTGAGGTGGGAGGATCGCTTGGGCCCAGGAAGTTGAGGCTGCAGTGAGCCATGATCACTCCAATGCACTCCATCCTGGGCAAAAGAGCGAGATCCTGTCTCCAAAAAACAAAAACGACTCCTGCCACCACCAAAAAATACTGTAGTCCCAGCTACTCGGGAGGCTGAGGCAGGAGGATCGCTTGAGCCTGGGAGGTGGAGGTTGCAGTGAGCTGTGACTGCACACTGCACTCCAGCCTGGGGGACAGAGTGAGACCCTGTATCAAAACAAACAAACAAACAAACAAAAAAACATATATATATATATATATATATATTTCCACAACCTACTGCCTCCTGGCCAATCTGGCAAACTCCCACTCATCTTTAGTTTTTGTTTGTTTGTTTGTTTTTTTAGAGATGGGGTCTCACTATATTGCCCAGGCTGGAATACAGTAGCTATTCACAGGCACAAACATAGTGCACTATAGCATTGAACCCCTGGGCTCCAGCAGTCCTCCTGCCTCAGCCTCCTAAGTAGCTAGGACCATAGGTGTGCATCACTACACCTGACACCCACTCATCTTTCAAGGTTCTTCACAGTTACCTTCTCAGTGAGACCTGCACCAAATACCTAATACCCGCAAAGGAGTTGTTCACTTACCCCACTCTTCTCCTGCCAGAACACCCTATTGTCCTTTTCATATATCACTCATACTGTATATTTATATGTATTTTTTAAATCAGAAGCTTCTTTTTTTAAATTTTTTTATTTTTTGAGACAGGGTCTCACTTTGTCACCCAGGCTGGAGTGCAGCATGCAATATCGGCTCACTGCAGCCTCGACCTCCCTGATTCAAGTGCTCCTCCTTCCTCAGCCACACAGGTATCTGGGACTACAGGCATGTGCACCATTATGCTCAGCTAATTTTTTTTTTTTTTTGGTGATTTTTGTAGAAATGGGGTTTCACCACATTTCCCAGGCTGGTCTCCAACTCCTGAGCTCAAGCAATCCACCTGCCTCAACCTCCCAAAGTGCTACGATTACAGGTGAGAGCCACTGTGTCCCGCCCACAAGCTTCTCTTTCTCCTTCTCCTTCTTTTTTTTTTTTTTTAAGACAGGGTCTTGCTCTGTTGCCCAGGCTGGAGTGCAGTGGCACAATCTCAGCTCACTGCAACCTCCACCTCCTGGGTTCAAGCGATTCTCATGCCTCAGCCTCCCGAGTATCTGGGATTACAGGCATGTGCCACTATGCCCAGCTAATTTTTGTATTTTTAGTAAAGACAGGGTTTCACCATGTTGGCCAGACTGGTCTTGAACTCCTGACCTCAAGTGACTACTTGCCTTGGACTCCCAAAGCGTTGGTATTACAGGTATGGGCCATTGCTCCCAGCCCCAAAAACTTCTTTTTGTTTTTTTTTGAGACAGAGTTTAAGCGATTCTCCTGCTCAGCCTCCCAAGTAGCTGGGACTATAGACATGCGCCACTACGCTCGGCTAATTTTTGTATTTTTAGTAGAGATGGGGTTTCACTATGTTGGCCAGGCTGGTCTCGAACTCCTGACCTCAGGTGATCCACCTGCCTCGGCCTCCCAAAGTGCTGGGATTATAGGCATGACCACCGCGTGTGGCCCAAAAACTTCTTTACTAGACTATGAGATCCTCAAGAACATGAACTAGATCGTATTGCAAGTAGATACCTGTACATGATTGCAGGGCACATCAATGGAGCCCTTTACCTTCTTTTTCCAAGTTCCTGTTTAAAATAGCAGGAGGCTCCTTCCAGTAGGGCTTTCACTGCCAGAGACAGGCTCCTGGCTGAGTCTCCTCACTGATTCTCTTTTAATCAGGGTGAGATGCATTGCTTTCGCTAGAGGTTGGGTTCTGGCCAAGTTTACCCCCTGCCTACCTCTCCTCCATCTCCCCTGCTGCATTTCCCCTTGTTCATTCCTTTGGATGCTCAGATCCAGCAACACAAGCCTTCTTCCTATTCCTCAAACACACCAAGATTCTTCTCCAAGGCCTCTGCAGTTCAGTCTCAAACACTAGTCTTCCAGATTTTCAAATGGCTAACCCTTTCTCATCATTAAAGGTTCATCTCAAATATTGTATCCAGGCCAGATGCGGTGGCTCACACCTATAATCCCAGCACTTTGGGAGGCCGAAGCGGGTGGATCACTTGAGGTCAGGAGTTTGAGACCAGCCTGGCTCACATAGTGAAACCCCTGTCTCTACTGAAAATACAAAAAATTAGCCAGGCGTGGTGGCAGGTGCCTGTAATCCTAGCTACTCGGGAGGCTGAGGCAGGAGAATTACTTGAACCCGGGAGGCGGAGGTTGCAGCGAGCCAAGATCCCGCCACTGTACACCAGCCAGGGCGACAGTTGGAGACTCCGTCTCAAACAAACAAACAAACAAACAAAATATTGTATCCAGGCTGGGCACAGTGGCTCACGCCTGTAATCCCAGCACTTTGGGAGGCCAAGGCAGGTGGATCACTTGAGGTCAGGAGTTCGAGACCAGCCTGGCCAACATGGAGAAACCCTGTCTCTACCAAAAATATAAAAAAATTAGTTGAGTGTGGTGGTGCACACCTGTAATCTCAGCTACTCGGAGGCTGAGGCAGGAGAATCCCTTGAACTTGGGAGGTGGAGGTTGCAATTGAGTCAAGATCGTGCCACTGCACTCCAACCTAGGTGACAGAGTGAGACTCCATCTCAAAAAAAAAAAAAAAAATTGTATCCTGAGACGCCTTCCCTGCCTGCCCCTGTTACCATAGCCGCTCCCTGTTGGATCATCTTGTCAGATTTCCCTCGTTGCACCTATTATTATCTGATATTATCTTCCTTATTTACATGTTTAAATTTTTTTTGCACCCTTAGTAGTGCCACAAGAGCCAAGATTTTTATGTTTTGTTCACTACTACATCTCCCATACCTAGAATGGTGACAGGTACATAGGACTCAATAAATACTCAGAGAGGCTGGGTGTGGTGGCTCAAGCCTTTAATTCCAGCACTTTGGGGGGCCGAGGCGGGTGGATCACGAGGTCGGGGTTTGAGACCAGCCTGGCCAACATGGTGAAACCCTGTCTCTACAAAATATACAAAAATAGCCGGGTGTGGTGGTGTGTGCCTGTAATCCCACCTACTTGGGAAGCTGAGGCAGGAGAATCACTTGAGCCTGGGAAGCGGACGTTGCAGTGAGCCTAGACTGTGCCATTGCACTCCAACCTGGGTGACAGAGCAAGACTCCATCTCAAAAAAAAAAAAAAAAAAAAAAATACTCAGAGAATGAACACAATAAAGTGGCTTTTGGGGATCATGTGTGAGTATCCAGGCATTTGATTCCTTTTCCCAGCTCTGCGAAAGAGCCAACTTTATAACTTAATTCCTGAGAGGTAATTTGGTGCAATAGAAGAGCACAAGCTTTGCATCTGCTGCTTGCCAGCTGTGTGACTTTGAGCAAATTACTCAACTTCTCTAAGCTTCAGTTTCCTCTTTTGTCCAATGGACATATTATTGATCCCAACAAGGCTGTTGTAAAGAGACAACATAGGACTTGTAAGCACTTATTGAATGAATGTTATTTCTCTTTTCCTTCATGATTTCTGAATCTTAGTTGCCCCATTCATAAAATGGGAGACTTGCATATCTGCTTTTTCCTTTTTAAATTAAATTTAATTTATTTTTATTTTTTGAGACAGAGACTCACTCAGTCACCCAGGCTGGAGTGCAGTGGCGCGATCACAGCTCACTGCAAGCTCCACCTCCCGGGTTCACGCCATCCTCCTGCCTCAGCCTCCCCAGTAGCTGGGACTATAGGCGCCCGCCACTACGCTTGGCTAATTTTTTTGTATTTTCAGTAGAGACGGAGGTTTCACCGTGTTAGCCAGGATGGTCTTGATCTCCTGACCTCGTGATCCGCCCGTCTCTGCCTCCCAAATGCTGGGATTACAGGCGTGAGCCACCTCGCCCGGCTAATATCTGCTTTTTCAAGCGAAGTGGCTATTTTTCAAAGGAAGCGGAATTTGTATATTTTCATATAAAATATATTTTTATATTAAATATTCCAATTTATTTTTTTTTTCTTGAGACAGAGTTTCGATCTTATTGCCCAGGTTGGAGTGCAATGGCGCGATCTCGGCTCACTGTAACCACTGCCTCCCGAGTTCAAGTGATTCTCATGCCTCAGCCTCTGGAGTAGCTGGGATTACAGGCGTGCACCACCACGCTGGGCTAATTTTTGTCTTTTTAGTAGAGACGGGATTTCACCATGTTGGTCAGGCTGGTCTCGAAATCCTGACCTCAAGTGATCCACCGGCCTCCGCCTCCCAAAACGCTGGGATTACAGGCATGAACCACCGCGCCCGGCCTTGAAAATGATTTTTTTTTTTTTGAGACGGAGTCTCGCTCTGTTGCCCAGGCTGGAGTGCATTAGTGAGATCTCGGCTCACTGCAAGCTCAGCCTCCCAGGTTCACGCCATTCTCCTGCCTCAGCCTCCTAAGTAGCTGGGACTACAGGCGCCCGCCACCACGCCCGGCTAATTTTTTGTATTTTGTTTAGTAGAGACGGGGTTTCACCGTGTTAGCCAGGATGGTCTCGATCTCCTGACCTCGTGATCCGCCCGCCTCGGCCTCCCAAAGTGCTGGGATTACAGGCGTGAGCCACCGCGCACGGCCGAAACGATTTTTTTTTAAAGTAAAAATACCCTAAGGCCCAAACAAGGTACCCCTGTGGACTGGATTTAGCTTTGGGCTGTTGTCCACCTAGGCTTCTGGTTGTCAGGGATGCTATGACATCTTTACTGTGTAACTTAGGCAGATCAGTTTACCTCCCTGAACTTCAGTGAGCTAATCTGTAAAATGGATCAGGACCCATCGCTGTGCCGATCAAATGAGACCAGGTGTGTTAAGACGCTGAACAGCGCTGGCGCATGGTAAGCACCCCACGCATGACACGACAGCGGTAGCTTGGGTGGATGTTGATTTGGTTAGGATGTATTCAAGGAGCAAGATATCCCAGAGGCCAGCGGAATAGGCGACGCCGAGAAAGAAGGAGAAAAGACGGCAGAAGAGATAGAAAGAGGGAATGGAAGAAGAGAGGAGGCAGCAGGGTCCGCCCTCCAGGCGAGGCGCCAGCGAGAGGCCCAGGCCGGGGAGGGAGCGCACGTGGCCTAGTTCGGGCGGAGCAAAGGCGCTGGGCGCAGCGGAGACCTCCGAGCCCGCCCCAGGAGACCGGCCGCGAGGGTAGGTTGGAACTCGGCTGCGAGGACCTTGAACGCCGGGCGCTGGGGCGGCTCCAGGTACTTGGGAGTCGCGGGACTGCGGGGGACGCCACGCCAGGTCTGAGCTCGCCGCCCTCTCGGAGCCGTTTGGGCCGGACTCCTGGGTCCTTTAGGGCTCCGCCCCAGGGGGTGGGGCCATATGTTCGGACCAATGACCGGCCGCCCCTGCGGCCCCGCCCTCTCCCCGCCCCCGGAGCCGCGGCCTCTCTCAGTGCCCAACCGCCCGGCGCCCAGGCCTGGGGCACCGCAAGCGCGGAACCTTCGGCTGGTGAGTGCGCACCTCCTCCCCAGGGTTTCCGCTACGATCCCGCCTCCAGCCCATGCCCCAGAGCTCCAGGTCGCCGACCCGGGCCCTGGGGAGTGACTCAGCGCAAGGATGGTGGCGACTTGCGGGGGCTGGAGATTCGAACTGTTCAGGGCCTTGAATGCCGGGATGAGCTGGTCCCGGGGCTGTGCCAGAGCGTGGGGCCGGGCTGGGGTGGACGGGAGAGGACCAGATTCGGAGACCAGGGCAGGGCGGGAGAAGCCACGGCTGCACCGCCTTGCTGGGCCAGGGCCACGGTCGGGCGGGGGGGGGGGGCGGGTCCTGAGCTTCTGATCCAGCTCCCCGCCTCAGGACACCAAGATGCCTGGCGAACAGCAGGCAGAGGAGGAGGAGGAGGAAGAGATGCAGGAGGAGATGGTGCTGCTGGTGAAGGGTGAGGAGGATGAGGGTGAGGAGAAGTATGAGGTGGTGAAACTCAAGATCCCCATGGACAACAAGGAGGTATGTGTCACACACACCCTGGGGCCCACTGTCCTCAAACCTGGTCCAGGCCCAGCCTCCCTCAAATAGAAGCCAGGGATCTTGCCCCTACTTTTCCCAGAATCTCAGATCTAGAACCTCAGGGCTGGCCCATACTTCTGCCCCACTGCCTGGGCTTCCATCATACAGTCACGCCTACTGTGCCAGGCTTCCTGCTGGGTGCAGGAGATTAAACTCCGTCCTTGGATCCCCCATGGAGCTTGATGTTAGACTGAAGGGTAACCACACAGTTAGAATCCGGCGTGATGGTTGCAGGTACAGGGAGATGATGAAGCCTAGAAGTGGGAACTTAGATTTAGAGGTGGGGGAAAGGACAGGTTAGTTCAACAGCAACAGTAACAATAGCTAACCCTTGCCTAGCATTTTCTATGTGCCAGGCCCTGTTCTAAGCACCTCGATTCTATGATGTTGGAGCATTTATTCCATTTTACAAATGAGGAGACTGAGGCCCAGGGCAGTTTGGTAACTGGCCACAGGTCTCAAAGTTAGTAAAAGGATGGCTTATGTGAAACCAGTAGGAGTCTGGGGGCGGAAGTGGGGTGATGGACCCAGGCAGAGGAAATAGCCTTTTTATTATTATTGCTGTTATTGTTTGAGACAAGGTCTCATTCAGTCACCCAGGCTGGAGTGCAGTACAGCTCACTGCAGCTTTGACTTCCCGGGCTCAGGTGATCCTCCCTCCTGAGCCTCTCCAGTAGCTGGGACTACAGGCATGCACCACTACACCTGGCTAATTTTTTTTGTTTTGTTTTGAGACAGAGTTTCGCTCTGTCGCCCAGGCTGGAGTGCAGTGGTGCGATCTTGGCTCACTGCAACCTCCACCTCAAGTGATTCTCCTGCCTCAGCCTCCCAAATACCTGGGATTACAGGCATGTGCCACCAACGCCTGGCTAATTTTTTGTATTTTTAGTAGAGTTGGGGTTTTGCCATGTTGGCCAGACTGGTCTCAAACTCCTGAGCTCAGGTGATCCTCCCACCTCAGCTAGGTGTGAGCCACCACATCCCGCCAGAAATGGCCCTTGTAGAGGCTCAGACGAGTGAGTAGTGCACTGCCCCAGTGAGGGTGAGTGGTTTGGTCATGCAGTAGTGTGGATGATGGGGAGTGGTTGGCAGGCCACACAGGGAGTCTACCTTTTATTCTCAGGGTATTTGAAGGTTTTGAGATCAGAATATGAGTTAAATTTCCCCTCTGGAGACGCTAACTGCCACCAGATATGTTTCCACTTGTCAGAACCCCAGAGGACTCTGTCTGCCCACAGCCGGAGCAGCCCTGAGTGCCAGCAGAGGGCTTGGCTCCAGGGGACTCAGTTTGCAGGGGCCCGGGCTCTGATTCTTCCTGCCCAGGAGCCAGTTCCTAGGGAAAGAATGCTCTGCTGCCCCCTAGTGGGCGTGGTGGGTGCTGGGGGAGGGGACAAGCTCCTCAGGCCTCCTCTTCCAGTCTAATAACTATCTGGTTCTGTTTGTTGCGGGACCCCTTGGCCCATTATCCAGCTCTGCCTGCCTCTTCCAGCCCTGCGATTGCCTGATCTCCACCTTTGGCCTCTAAGTTACAAACACAGGCTCCAGAGCTTAGGGTGGACTTCCAGCTCCATCACTTACCCACTGTGTGACCTTGGGCAAGTTTCCTAACTGCTTCATGCCTCAGTTTCCTCATTTGTAAAAGGGAAATTATAACAGCACCTACATCTTGGAGTTGTGAGGAATGAATGAGTCAACACATGCACAGAGTTAGAACTGTGTCTGGCACATAATAAACATGGAGATAGTTGCTGTGACATTTATTCTTCTCCCCAAAGCTCGGGACCTTGGGCAAGGTCATCCTTCTGGAGATTTTTCAGCTTTTTTTTTTTTTTTAAACGGAGTCTCACTCTGTCGCCCAGGCTGGAGTGTGGTGGTGCAATCTTGGGTCACTGCAACTTCCACCTACGAAGTTCAAGCAATTCTCCTGCCTCAGCCTCCTGAGTAGCTGGGATTACAGGTGCAAGCTACCATGCCCAGCTAATTTTTGTATTTTTAGTAGAGATGGGGTTTCACCATATTGGTCAGGCTGGTCTTGAACTCCTGACCTCGTGATCCGCCCACCTCAGCCTCCCAAAGTGCTGGGATTACAGGCGTGAGCCACCACGCCTTGCTCAACTCATTTTTATCAAAGGCCTGGGCTGAACCATGAGAACTGGGGTTGATCAGGGAAGTGAATGTGGGGGCACAGAGGATTGAAGGCAAACGACTCAAGGCAGTGGGGAAGGCTTCCCAGAGGAGATAATTTCTGACTTGGGCCTTGAAGGCTTTGTGGGGGTTTGGCACATGGAGGAGGGTGAAGTGCATTCCAGGAGAAGGAAACAGCAAAAGCAAAGACTCAGAGGAAATGAGACTGGAAAGGCAGTTGGGGGACAGAGGGGCCTTGAAAGCTAGGGCAGGATGTACTGTGTTAGGTTCTGTGGCAACATCAGAGGCCTTAAATCATGGGAAGAGCCAGACGTGGTGGCTAACGCCTGTAATCCCAGGACTTTAGAAAGCCAAGGCGAGAGCATCACTTGAGCCTAGGAGTTCGAGACTTCCCTGGGCAACAAAGGGAGACCTCATCTCTACAAAAAATTTTTTTTAATTAGCTGGGCATGGTGGCTGTAGTCCTAGCTACTCTGGAGGCTGAATGAGCCCAGGAGTTCAAGGCTGCAGTGAGCCATGACTGCACCACTGTACTCCAGCCTGGGCAACAGAGAGAGACCCTGTGTCAAAAAACAAAAACAGGCCAGGCATGGTGGCTCATGTGTGTAATCCCAGCACTTTGGGAGGCTAAGGTCAGGAATTTGAGACCAGCCTGGCCAACATGGCGAAACCCCATCTCTACTAAAAATACAAAAATTAGCTGGGTGTGGTGGCATGTGCTTGCAGTCCCAGCTACTCGGGAGGCTGAGGCAGGAGAATCACTTGAATCCAGGACGTGGAGATTGCAGTGAGCTGAGATTGCACACTGTACTCCAGCCTGGGCAATAGAGCAAGATTCTGTCTTAAAAAAAAAAAAAAAAAAAAAAAAATCAGAGGAGGAACATGATTGGATTTTCTGTTTAGAAGAATTATTGGCTGCTATAGGGAGACCAGGCCAGGTAGGGCCTGCTCTAAGGTAGTAACAGCAATGACGAGGAAAAGGTGCCATTTAGGAACTTGGCTAGAGCCAAGGGGTATGTGCAGTGAAGGTTTGGCATGGCTACTCATAAAAGGCACATAGGGCCAGATTGTTAATGGTATCACGCAGTGGTTCTAACTCCACCATTGACCAGCTTTTCTTTGGCTTTCACATCTGTAAAATGGGGTAATAGAAAAAGACCCTTGAATGCCTGTCTGAGAAGTGTCATCAGGGTGACTGGATTTGGAGGAGATGGGTGAAATCGAGGATTATGCACACATATCCCATGAACTGTTAGCACGGTGCCCAGAAGAGCGCTCGATCGTCAGCTTGCTGTGGGCCTTCCTGAGCCTCATTTCTCCATCTATGAAATGGTGACCTCGAAAGCGCCTTCCAGTGGTGACATTCAGTGAGTCCTAGCTATTGCCAGTCCTGTGGCCAGTCACTGTCCAGAAGAGCCTTAATTACGCTACATGCAGGGGCTGGAGTATTCTCCCTCTGCCATCAAAACCCAATCTGTCTTTTAGAAAGATTTTCTCAGAGGGCTCCATGCACATACAAACCTATCTTTCCCTGGCTTGAACCCTTGAGTGGTTTTCTGCTTCCCTCAGGGTGAGGTCTCAGCTGCTAAACTTGGCATTCAAAGCTCTTCACCATCAGACCTCATGCCATTCTGGCTTCATCCCCTCGACACCTATCCCATCCCTCCTTGTGGTCTCAGCCTGCAAAGCCCCTCTTCACCTTTGCTCCCTGCTTTCTCCAGGAGTAGCTCTTTTCTCTTCTAGATCAGTTTCTTAATTTTTAACATGCATACAGATCACCCAGGGGTCTCGTTAAAATGAGGATTTTAATTCAGTAAAATCTGGAGTGGGATTTGAGATTCTGCATTTCTAAAAAGTTCCCAGTGATGCTGATGTTGCTGGTCTGTGGACCATATATCCTCCAGCAAGGAACTAGAGGACAGGGATTGTGTTTAACAGTTTGTACCAAAAAGAAGGAAGACTGTGACCACAAAAAGGAGCCACGGGAAAGAGACAAGCTGCATAAGTGGCCTCAAACTCTAGTCAGTGAGATTAGAATTGCATCATGGAAGCTGGGCACGATGGCTCTTGCCTGTAATCCCAGCACTTTTGGAGGCCGAGGCAGGAGGATTGATTGAGCTCAGGAGTTTGAGACCAGCCTGGGCAACATGGCAAAACCCCGTCTCTTCCAAAATACAAAAATTAGCCGGGTGTGGTGGCATGCCCCTGTAGCCCCACCTATTTGGGGGGTTGAGTCAGGAGGATTGCTTAAGCCTGGGAGGTCAAGGCTGCAGTGAGCCCAAGACTGCAGTGAGCCATGACCATGCCACTGCATCCAGCCTGGGTGACACAGTGAGACCTTTTCTTAAAAAAGAGAGAATTAAAAAAGGATTGCATCATGGTTAAGAGAATAGGTGTTCTGGAAAATGAGTAACTTCAGTTCAAACCCTGGCTCTGCCATTTATTAGCTGTATAGCCTTGTGTACTCACTTAACTTCTGAGTCTTATTTCCTTATATATAAAACAGGGCTAAGGCACCTAACCGAAGTCATAGTGAGAATTTAGAAAGAGAGTACTGGTAAAAAGCACTTAGCACAGTTCCTGGCACATGGTGAGTGCCCAACAAGTGGGAGTTATTGTATTAATTAGAGAAATAATGGCTAAGGAAGAAACTGGGATGTTTGCCCTGGTTAAAAAAAATTTAAGCAGGAAGACAAAAATCACTAACTTCTAATACCTGATTACATTATTACACTACATTGTATATCCACAGTAACCTCTTGTTATAGTGCAAATACCATTTATTCTAATTTTTAAATCTAATAGTTGTAGAATTTAAGACACACTTGGGTCATTAATGATCACCTAGTCTGGTATTTGCCAAGTTTCAGTCACATGTGTATTGTTCATATGTTGTACTCATATTATTTATTAATCCTTTTCTTCAAATAGATTCACATTGTTTTGTTAAATAAATTTACCTTCATCTAAACAATAGTACTGATGAACCTGTGGGTTTCATGTGATCTCTTGTTTTTTAGTATTTGTGAAAATAAATGCATAACAATTATAATGAGACTTTTTTAAAGTTTGCCCACATACCACCTCATACCTCATGCTGGGAAATTTTTTTTTTTTTTTCTTTTTTTAGAGACACGATCTCACTCTGTCACCCAGGCTGGAGTGCAGTGGCACGTGATCGTAGCTCACTGCAGCCTGAGCTCAAGTGATCCTCCTTCCTCAGGCTACCAAGCAGTTGGGACTACAACTACTTGTGCACCTCACCACACCTGGCTAATTTTTCACTTTTTGTAGAGATGAGGTCTAACTGTGTTGCCCAGGCTGGTGTCCAACTCCTGGCTTCATGTAATCCTCCTTCCTTGGCCTCCCGAAGTGCTGAGATTACAGGTGTGAGTCACTGCACCTGGCCTCATACTGGGAAGTTGATCTCACTTAGCCTACCTGGCCTTTCTCAGGACACTGGGGCAGAGGAGGATCTTAATGAGCTGGATTCAGCTCCTCTTACCAAGATTTTTCCTCGGGCACCCAAGGCCCCTTCTCCTGGGCTGGAGACATCAACAATGCTTGTGTGGAGAATTTCTTTTTCAGAAGTCAGTGATCCCAGCATGAGGAAGCCCTCAGGCTGTCCAAAGTCACCTTAAAGAGGGTGCCAAGGAAAAACGGGCCAGAAAAACGTAGATATGATGAGACAAGTTCTCTCCACAGTGGCTGATGTATTGAAATAAACCAACAGATTTCAAAACCAGGGCAAGACTGGAAAATGTGACCTTGAATTCAGATGGTGCCAAACATGTTGTGGGGAGTTTCTCCATTTAAAGTATCAACTTGTATTTTAACCTTGAATCCCTCTTGGAGTGTGCCAGGGACTTGGAGTTCAGCCTCTGTCACATCTTGGTCACATGACTTCAGAACAGTGTAGCCTGAACAACGGCATGGTCTCATGGGCACCCTGAGTCCTTCCTGGCTCCCACTAGCCATGTGAATTTCATCGCCCTCAGCCTCAGCTTTCTCAGCTATCGAAAGAGACAACACCCAGCTCAAGGCGGGTGACAGGAGGATTTAATACAATAACATACATAGTGTTGTCAAAGCTTAATACTTTGCTATTGATTGTTGCTATTGTTATGAGTATATATACTATTTAAACCAGATTTCCCTTGGTTGGTCACTAATTTCCCAAATTGCCCTGTTTTCTAATAATTTCTTTCTTTTTTTTTTTTTTGAGAGGGAGTCTCACTCTGTTGCCCAGGTTGGAGTGCAGTGGCATGATCTCAGCTCACTGCAACCTCTGCCTCCTGGGTTCAAGTGATTCTCCTGCCTCAGCCTCCTGAGTAGCTGGGATTATAGGCATGAGCCACCACACCCAGCTGATTTTTGTATTTTTAATAGAGACAGGGTTTCACCATGTTGGCCAGGCTGGTCTTGAACTCCTGACCTCAAGTGATCCACCTGCTTCGGTCTCCCAAAGTGCTGGGATTACAGGCGTGAGCCACCATGCCTGGCTTGTTTTCCAATTTCTGAGTTGGTTACCACAAAGCCACTACCTTTTGACAAACAATCTTGAAGGCCTTGAAGATGCCCTCTTGCAGCTTCAGAAAGAGAAGGCCCTACTATTCTCTGCTGTCACTCTCTTTTTTTTTTTTTTTTTGAGATGGAGTCTCGCCCTGTCACCCAGGCTGGAGTGCAGTGGTGCGATCTCGGCTCACTGCAACCTCCACCTCCCCGGTTCAAGCAGTTCCCTGCCTCAGCCTCCCAAGGAGCTGGGATTACAGGCATCTGCCACCACACCCAGCTAATTTTTGTATTTTTAGTAGAGACAGGGTTTCAACATCTTGGGCTCGAACTCCTGACCTCGTGATCCACCCGCCTTGGCCTCCCAAAGTGCTGGTGAGCCGCTGCACCTGGCCTTGCTGTCACCCTCTTAACCTGTCTCCCCATCTGTAAAATGGGGATGATGATAATTACCTTGTGGAGATCAAATATGGGAGAAGCTGACACTCTCTTGTCCTTAATATGTCCCAGGTACTTCATTTGGTCATGAATTAATTGCTTGACCACAGTAGATACTCGACATCAGTTTTGCTGGGGTTTTGAGCATTCTTTTTTCTAAAGGGAGCAGTGTGCCCTCAATACTCTTCACTCTTAGTCCAGAATGTTTTCCCTTCACGTGCCTCTTACAAGGCATTTCTTTCCTTTTTCTGATATTTATCTCTAGAAGGCCAGAGCTTGTGAAATTGGCTCATTTTCAGATTTTTCGTTTCAGACCTCAGAATAGCATTTGGGTTTTACTCTTGCCTTTTTCTTCACTGCTTAAAAAATGATAGGTGTTTGCTATTCAAAGCTGATTAAGAGCCTGGACTTGGTCCTGGCCTGGCTTCCAGGATGCCCCTCTCCTGCTCTCTTCCCTCCCTGGCTTCTCCCCATCTTGCTGCCCTAGGTTCTCTCTGCCCATCCCCTGGATGATCTCATCCACTAATTCTCAAGGCTTTATAAACCATCTATAGGTTGACAGCTTCTCAGTTAACATCTTCAGTCTAGGTGTCGCTTCTGAGCTCCAGATATGTCAAGAAGCCATGACACCATCCAAAACAGATCTCCTCTCTCAACTTGCTCCTCCCACCGTCCTTATCTCTGTAAATGGCAACTCCACCTTTGCAGCTGCTAAGCTCAAAAACCTTGAAGTCATTTTGATCTCTTTTTCTTTACATCTCATATCTAATGTTTTATTAAATCTATTCTCTCACACTGCAAATAGATTCAGAAGCCAATCACTTCTCACCACCTCCACCATCCACCGTCCACTTCTGTCACCTGGGTCTGAGCCACTATCTTGGCAGGTGGCTGTAGTGGCCTCCTCACTGGGCTTGTGCTTCTGCGCTCTCCAACTCCTTCATTTGGTTTTCAACCCCAGTAGGCTGAGGGAGCCTTTTTTAATGTGTAGGATATGGTCACTTCCCGCTCAAAGCCCTCTGACATCTCTTACAGTTCCCTGTCTCCTTTATATTAAAAGCCAGAGCCAGGCACAGTGGTATGTGCCTGTAACCCCAGCTACTAAGAAGGCTGAGTCAGGAGGAACTGCTTGAGCCAGGAGGTTCGGGACCAAGCCGGGGCCACAGCAAGACCCTGTCTCTTAAAAAAAAAAAAAAAAAAAAAAAAGCCAAATATAACAAATACAAGGCCCTATAAGCCAAGCGATGTCCTCCACCACCACATCGGTGACTTCCCCCATCATGCATTCTGCTATAACCAATTTTTCTTGCCATTTCTGGAACTCAGCAGGCAACTCCCGCCTCTGCGCCTTGCTGTTCCCTCTGCAATGCTCCTGAGAGGGCTATCCACGTAGCCTGCTGTGTCACCTCCTTTAAGTCTTTGTTCACGTTATCATGTCGGTAAGGTGTCTTGACAACCCTGTTTTAAATCTGTAGCATCCCCAATACCAGCATTCCTTATCCATTATTCCTGAAAGCAGTACTTTTTAAAATCCTTTTTATTTAATGCGGAATCCCCATGCCTAGAACAGTCTAGGACACTGCACGCCCTCAGTAAATATTGGGTGAATTAATAAAAATAGCTAGAACGCCGCTGGGCTTTGTGATGTGTGCGTTACGCGCATTATCTCACCGGATGCGCACAGCCATCCTGGGAGGCAGCACCGTGGCCTTTCCTATTTCACAGATGGGGAACTGAGGCTCACAGAGGGAGCAGCCTGTGGAGACCCAGGTCTCTGGCTCCGGGGCCTGCCGCTAAGGGCTGACCTATCCCCCTCTCCCCGCAGGTCCCGGGCGAGGCGCCCGCGCCGTCCGCCGACCCGGCGCGTCCCCACGCGTGCCCCGACTGCGGCCGCGCCTTCGCGCGCCGCTCCACGCTGGCCAAGCACGCGCGCACGCACACGGGCGAACGGCCCTTCGCGTGCACCGAGTGCGGGCGGCGCTTCTCGCAGAAGTCGGCGCTGACCAAACACGGCCGCACGCACACGGGCGAGCGGCCCTACGAGTGCCCCGAGTGCGACAAGCGCTTCTCGGCCGCCTCGAACCTGCGGCAGCACCGGCGGCGGCACACGGGCGAGAAGCCGTACGCATGCGCGCACTGCGGCCGCCGCTTCGCGCAGAGCTCCAACTACGCACAGCACCTGCGCGTGCACACGGGCGAGAAGCCGTACGCGTGCCCGGACTGCGGACGCGCCTTCGGCGGCAGCTCGTGCCTGGCGCGTCACCGACGCACGCACACGGGCGAGCGGCCATACGCATGCGCCGACTGCGGCACGCGCTTCGCCCAGAGCTCGGCGCTGGCCAAGCACCGGCGCGTGCACACGGGCGAGAAGCCGCACCGCTGCGCTGTGTGTGGCCGTCGCTTCGGCCACCGCTCTAACCTGGCGGAGCATGCGCGCACGCACACAGGCGAGCGGCCCTACCCCTGCGCCGAGTGCGGCCGCCGATTCCGCCTAAGCTCGCACTTCATTCGCCACCGACGCGCGCACATGCGGCGCCGCCTGTATATCTGCGCCGGCTGCGGCAGGGACTTCAAGCTGCCCCCTGGCGCCACGGCCGCCACTGCCACCGAGCGCTGCCCGGAGTGCGAGGGTAGCTGAGCCCCGCAGGGCTGCGGAGGGGCGCCCTGGGGCTTCGACCTGGCTGCACTAACCCGGGCTCCTTCTGCGCCGGCCTCCAGGTCTGGAAAATTGAGGGGACTGCAGGCCCGGCTGCCCTGGAACTGGAAGACAGGGAGAATCCCCTGCCGGGGTCCCTGGAAACAGTGCCCATCCTCCATCACTACATTCCCTTGGCCCGTGTTAGTGAATAAAGTATTATATCCTCACCCCACCCGTGCCTGTGAGTGGGGTGGGTGGGAGAGGAAGAAAGTTCGGGTTCTCCAGGCTCAGGTGCCAAGTGAGATGTCAAGGAACCAAAGGGGGATGTAAACCTAAAAGGGGTTCCCGGCATCTCCGTTTGTGTTGGGGGTAGGAGGTGATCGCACACTTGGCCCTTGGTTACGTCCTCATAAACCCTAGATCTGAAAGGGCCCATAAGTATACTATGTTCATCAGACATGCACTGCATTCGGCAGAGCTCCAGTGAGCAAGGCACAACCCTCAGATCTCAGTCTAGTGAAGGAGAGAAAACTGTAACACAACATTAAAGGTTTTAACTGCTTTGTTATGTAAACTTACGTATTTTCATCCTCAAAACATCCCAGCCCAGCGCGCGGTGACTCACGCCTGTAATCCCAGCACTATTGGGAAAAAAAAAAAAGAAAAAAAGGCTGGGCATGGTGACGCACACTTGTAGTCACAGCAAATGAGGAGGCTGAGATAGGAGGATCACTTGAGCACAGGAGGTTGAGGCTGCAGTGAGCTACTACTGTGGCACTGTACTTCAGGCTGGGCGACAGAGCAAGGCTGTCTCAAAAATAAAAAATTTTAAATTCCAAAGTTATAAAATTTATTTTTTCTTGTTTTCTACTGTGCAACCCATTTCAGTGCCAGCAGCCTACGGGCATAGAGGCCAGGCAATGGTTCGGGGCTACAGTTTGCTCTGGCATGGGGTACTATGAGAGGCCCAGGGAATCCGGCCCATCATAAATCCAAACCCATGCGTTGTTTTAAATTTATTTTGGGTTGGGCAAGGTGGCTCACGCCTGTAATCCCAGCACTTTGGGAGGCTGAAGCAGGCAGATCACCTGAGATCAGGAGTTCGAGACCAGCCTGGCCAACATGGTGAAACCCTGTCTCTACTAAAAATGCAAAAATTAATTGGCCTGTAATCCCAGCTACTCAGAAGGCTGAGACAGAGTGAGACTCCATCTCAAAAAAACAAAAAACAAAAACAAAAACAATCAGCCGGGCATAGTGGCAGATGCCTGTAATCCCAGCTACTTAGGAGGCTGGGGCAGGAGAATTGCTTGAAATGGGAGGTGGAGGTTGCAGTGAGCCGAGATCACACCATTGCACTCCAGCCTGGGTGACAAGAGTGAGACTGTCTCAAAAAAATAGTAATAAAATAGTAATAAAAAATAAAAATAGTAATAAAAATAAATAGTAACAAAAAATATTTATTTATTTATGTAGAGACAGGGTCTCGCTATGGTGCCCAGGCTGGTCTCCCCATCCTAGCCTCAAGCAACCCTTCCACCTCTGCCTCTTGAAGTGCTGAGATTAGGCATGAGCCACCATGGCTCACCATGGCTGAGGCAAAGGAGATGGGACCATCTTTCTGTCCATTTTTGCCACAGCCCATGAATGGCAAAGACAAGGGACAAGTAAACAGGCACTTGCAGTCCAGTGTCAACTGGTGCTATGATGGGAAGATAGGCTCTTCTCAGAGGTGATGCTTAAGTCGGGTCTTGAAGGTAAAGTTGGGGTTGGGGAAGTGTGGAGAAAGCCCCTAAAGCTGCATTCCAGGGTCAGTAGAGCTTGCAGATGTTCCCTGGGGTGGAATGAGGGGACAAAAAGGTTTTGGAAGTGAGGTTAAAGTATCCAAGGTAGCAAAGCCTTGAGGGCTTAGAGGGGAAGGATGGAGCTAACATCCGTAGGGAGCTGGAACTCATAGTGGTAGACCTGGAGCTGAGGCAAAGGAGATGAGACTGACTTCATTTCTTAGCTTGGGTGACTGCAGGACAGTGTCACTGATATGGGGGTGCAGGATGAAAAGCAAGACAGGAGCTGAAGTGGGGGCAATTGTTATACCCCAGTCTGGACATGCTGAACGTTAGGTCAGCATGAGGGAGGGGACTGGCAATAACAGCTTAGAGATATCAGGTCTGGAGTCCATGACACCATGTCCATAAGAAAGCACTCAAGAAGAGTCTTGAAAGTGGCTGGGCACGGTGGCTCACGCCAGTAATCCCAGCACTTTGGGAGGCCAAGGGAGGAGGATCACTTGAGGCCAGGAGTTCGAGACCAATTTGGGCAACATGGTGAAACCCTGTCTCCACTAAAAATAAGGAAAAATAGCCAGAGGTAGGAAGAAAACCAGGTAAGCATCTTATCTGGGAAATCTAGAGGAAAGTGTTTCAGGGAGAGTAGGCGATCAGCTGCTGCTCTGGTGCCCGCTGCATTTGTCATGAGGGCGGGGAAAGTGGCGAGAGCTGATTCAGTGGAGGGGGGTGAAAACCAGCCAGGAGGCCAGGTTGTAAATGGGACAGTGGGGAAGCAGAGTGGGGGAATACAGCCAACCCTTTGAAGAGGCTGCTCGAGGTTTGATGGTTTCACTTTTGTCAACAGGGAAGGGACTCATATATGCTTTCTGCACAGGAAGAAAGGGCTAATGAAGAGAAACTGATCATACAGAAGGGAAAGCAGACACCCAATTACGGAGAGGAAGGAATCAGGGCTTCGTAAGGATGCGGATCCCATTATCACTGGAGAGCCAGAAGAAAGGCGGGTTTGGGCACATAATCTGATGCGCTGTTTTACCTGGGAAATAAGAATGGGGGTCACTGGGTAAGAAACGTAAGAGAGTGAGGCCAGGAAAGGAGAATGCCTCATTTTACTGATGTGCAGACTGGCTCAGAGAGGCAGCAAATCAGCGATCATTGTAGATTCTGAAAGCACGGATGTCCTTTGGTATACGTGGGGGACTATTTCCAGGACACACCCCACCGTGTTCACAAATCCACGCATACTCAAGCCCCTGTCAGCCCTGCGGAACCCACGTATAGGAAAAGCTGGTCCTCCACACACATGGGTTTTGCATCCCACAAATACTGTATTATTGAACCATGTTTGGTTGAAAAAAATTCAACCAAATGTGGACTCACGCAGCTCAAACCCATGCTGTTCAAGGGTCAACTGTAGTTTAAAAGTCCTTTCCCCTGCATTAGCCTACCCTGTGACGGAGGCAGTCAGAGGTATCTCAGAAAAAAGTGATGTGCCCAAAGTCACAGAACAGGCAAATCTTACACACTCAACACTATCTTTTTTTTTTTTTTTTTTGAGACGGAGTCTTGCTCTGTCGCCCAGGCTGGAGTGCAGTGGCATGATCTTGGCTCACTGCAACCTCTGACTCCCAGGTTCAAGCAATTTTCCCTGCCTCAGCCTCTGGAGTAGCTGGGATTACAGCCACCCACTACCACGCCCAGCTAATTTTTGTATTTTTAGTAGACATGGGGTTTCATCATGTTGGCTGGGTTGGTCTCGAACTCCTGACATCAGGTGATCCACCTGCCTCGGCCTCCCAAAGTGCTGGGATTACAGGCGTGAGCCACCGCGCTCGACCCTCAACACTATCTTTAGGTGGAGAGGAAAAACAATAAATTGGCCTTGGTGTGGCAGGGTGGGTAGCCTTTACTTCTACCAAGGAGGAAACCCTGTTTCGCCCCACATCAGAGACCTGACCCTGATTTCCTGCTCTACGCCCCTGATAGTTGAGTTAAAAAGGCAAATAAGGCCAGGTGCGGTGATTCACGCCTATAGTCCCAGCACTTTGGGAGGCTGAGGTGAACGTATCATGAGGTCAGGAGATTGAGACCAGCCTGGCCAACATAGTGAAACCCCATTTCTACTAAAATTACAAAAATTAGCTGGATATGATGGCATGCACCTGTAATCCCAGCTACTTGGGAGGCTGAGGCAGGAGAATTGCTGGAACCGAGAAGGTAGAGGTTGCAGTGAGCCGAGATCACGCCACTGCACTCCAGCCTGGGTGACAGAGCGAGACTCAGTTTCAACACTATATTTAAATAATAATAATAAAAAAAGGCAAATGGCTGGGCGCGGTGGCTCGGGCCTGTAATCCCAGCACTCTGGGAGGCCGAAGCGGGCAGATCACCTAAGGTCAGAAGTTCAAGACCAGCCTGGCCAACAGGGTGAAACCCCATCTCTACTAAAAATACAAAAAATTAGCCGGGCGTAGTGGCGGGCACCTGTAGTCCCAGCTACTTGGGAGGTTGAGGCAGGAGAATGGTGTGAACCCAGGAGGCGGAGCTTGCAGTGAGCTGAGATCGCACCACTGCACTCCAGCCTGGGAGAAAGAGTGAGACTCCATCTCAAAAAAATAAAACAAAAAAAAACTGGGCGTGATGGTGGGCGCCTGTAATCCCAGCTGCTGGGAGGCTAAGGCATGAGATTCACTTGAACTCAGGAGGCAGAGGTTGCAGAGAGCCGAGATCACACCGCTGCACTCCAGCCAGGCCAACAAAAGTGGGATTCTGTCTTTAAAAAAAAAAAAAAAGGAAAACAGGTAATAACAATAACCGCAAACTTACCCTTTACTACGTGCCAGGCCCCACCCTGAGCACACGTAACTCATTGAAACCTCACAACCGTATTGGGCAGGTACTATTCTTTTTATTTTATAGACAAGGAAGCTGAAGTGCACAAAGATTAATTTGAGTAATGTCATCCAGCTTGCAAGTGTCAAAGATGGCATCTGAACCCAGACAGCCTGGCTCCAACATCTGGACTCTTATAGCCTCCAATCTCTAAAAGGAGGGGGAAGGAACTTACATGACATCCTACTGGGAATTTGCTAAAAACCAGATCTCTCTGCCCTACAGGCAAAAGGTAAAAACAGGGAAACACGAGAATGGGGCTCAGAGGCACCCCTGGTCCCCTCGCCATCACCGGCAGAGACAGAGAGCCTCCCTGGCCATCCAGGAAGAATCTAGAAGTTATTGCCCAAAACCATTTTACTGGGAGAGCAAATACCAGGAGGCTACCTTCTAGAGGTTGCTGGGCCTCAGACCTCAAGAAGTGGAGACCTCAGGCCCACGATCTATTTGGAAAAGACTAGAAAATGGCTCCAGGGCCGGGCCACCCTCTGCTCTTCAGACACCACCCTGAGTTGCAAGTCCTGTGGCCACCTTTCTAGGTTGAGGTCTGGCCCGTGGAGTCACAGGGAAGGTCCGCAGGCCCCACAGCCTGGTCTTCAGAGATGGCACCATGGGGCAATTCTGTATACTTGCGGGAGGAGCTGCGGGCCAGATGGGCTGGGTAGCGTCGCCGGTTGATGTCCATTTTGGAGAGCACTGCTAGCGGCAGATCCACACGGCAGCGGGCTGCTAATGCCACCAGGTAGATGAGGACGTCACTAAGCTCCTCTTGAAGGGCTAACCGTTCCCTGGGGGACCAGCCTTGGGGGCCAGGTTCCCCATCGGTTTTCCACTGACTAGGGGCAGAACACAGACAGACACACACTCAGATGTAACCTGGGACAATGGG